ACAATGCAAACTTCACAGAACTGTGCTATAAATCAGATCAGGGGAGCAATTTGAGTTATACTGTAAAAAAAAGTTTTCTTGCTTAAAAAGAAGCAAACAAAAAACTTGTATGGATTAGTTCAAACAAACAGATTTGCAGCACAGCCTAACAGTTGTGGCAACATAGGAGTGATGAACTCCAACAGCTACTTCCTTAAAGTCCAGTCTTAAAATGGATTGATGCTATGACACAGAAGAAAATATCATTGGAAAAGGAGAAGAATGAAAAGCCAGGGAAGAGAATACCAGCATTCAACTCCATTTTTCTTCCTCAGTAAAACTAAAGATTTGAAAGAAATGCAATTATTTTAACAACTCAGAACTTCTGCACTATTTGCTAAAAAGATCCCTACATTTCGATAGAGAAGATAATTTCCAAAACACAAGCACAAACATACAAAAAAAAAAAAAAAAAAAAAAAAAAAAAAAAAAGCCCCACAAACTCAAACTAGAGTTACGTCCATCAAAAGCAAGAAGAAGCTTAAGCTTTGTTGCACAGCAGATCCATGACTGGATGCATCCAGACAGAAGCACCCTTCTTGTGAAAACACCCATCTCATGATAAAGACATGGCCAAGAGAGGACAGTGGGCTTAAAATAACATGAAGGTACTGACAAGTAACAGCAATACCAGACAAGAGATAGAAATCCCACCTCAGTATTTGTCCCTTCCTTTACAGGTTTTCATCTCATATAGGATAGCACACTTTGGCTAAACAATAACTCAAAGAAATCTTAGGAATATCTGTTCATGATAATTAACAATAGATAAACAAGACTGCTTTAAGATAACTGCAAAGATGTAGCCAACATTGCACAAGCTTTTCTGTACAAGCTCAAGGTTCAAGATGGTGATAGTAAAGAGACAGCAAGCACAAAAACATGACAGCTTAGTGATCCTCAATAAGTACAGGATTGCAAAAGTCCCTAAAAAAAAAAAAAGATGACAACACCCTGGTAACACCAAGGAGAAACAACAGGTAACACTAAAAAGGAACAAGAAGTAAAGAAGAATTCTAGTTGGGATGATGAAGAAATAGTGGAGATCATAGAAGATGCTACACCAGGGGAAGTGAAAGAACTTTGTGCAACCACGGAATACCAAAATGGAAATAAGAAAGAAACTGGAAAATAAGTACGCCATTTCTAATTGCCTCAGCAGGCAAAACAGCAGTGGAGCAACAGAAAGAATTAGCTCATCTGGAAGAAAGTCTGGTATAGTTGCATTAAGTTTAATTTAACATGACTCTTAACAGATAAAGCTGATAAATTTGGTAAAATAAGAAGTTAACAAAGGGGGGAAAAGACTGGAAGTATAACCACAGGCAGAAGTAGTGGCAAATAAACAGTAACCAGAGAGTAGAAGGCAGTGAATAATTGCAAAACAACAGTACTATCCCTGTATGGACCACTCACTTAAGAGTTGGAATCAATGATACTCGTGGGTTCCTTCCAACTCAGAAAATTCTGTGGCACTACAGTCATCCCAGGGAGAATAAGACATCATGTGGTAGAGGATTACGTATGCTATTGAAAGCAACAGAGACCAAGGAGGGTAAGAAAGACCTGGAATTCTTGCACCCTGGGCACAAGAAATCTGTAGAGATATTAACTGAAGACAATTTCAGCATAACACAGAATCTGGACTGGAATTAATTTAATATGAAGAGGAAAGAATGTGTGACAACAAACATACATTTCTCTGTTCAAGAATCTGAAAAAGAAGGGAAACAGATTAGAGTGCTGTTATTTTTAAGGATGCAGAATAGCAACTCAGAATAAAATGAGGAAGGGAATAAGATGGCAGCAGGATGTAAAAACCTGAAATTTGAAATGAAAACAGAAAAACTGAATAAATGGGGCTTTGGGTAGTTAAAAAGGCAGAAAAAGCAGAAAACAAACATGAGAATACATCTCTGTAAGTAGGAATCAATAGTACTGAATAAAGGTAAACATGTCAATTCTAATCAGTTTTTCTCTGGAAACCTTTAGATTCTGCTGGGGAAGAGGCATAGAAAAAGGCCTAAGATAGAGGCCTTTAGACAGCCTGCAAAGCAAAGGAACTGGGGAACATATCTAGGGGGGAAAATTTCATATAAGTATGAAATAAAAGCTATGAATAAAACTACAAAGAAATCTATCCAGTTCAACAATCAGTCACAGGTAGATGCGTTATCAGAAATGAGAGGAGAAGGTGGTAGTCATTAGAAAGGGACTAGGAGATACAGTAATCAGATAAGATGGTTGTCAGAATCAAAACAGAAGTAATAATTTCTGTCAGAAACAGAAACGGGGATTAGCAGATGAAGATCAAATAGGCTAGAGTGCTCAAAAATAAACTTAATGAGAAATATACTTGAAAAACAAAGTAATAAGGAATGAGGGCATTCAAAATAAGAGGAGAGATTATGCTGAAGACCAATATGAAACTACAAAGGGAGAAGCAAAAAGTAGATGAGGAAATGTGAAGGAATGTCTAATGGACCCCTGCCCAGGAAAAATGTAAGAGGAGGAAATGCAAAGACCATGGTAGATAAGGAACATAACTTTTTTTTTCATTATAAAAGGGATGATAGAACAGACATTGGGACCTAATATAGTATTGTATGGTATGCAGCAAGGTTTCTGTAATCCATGTACCATATCATATTTATATGCTGATAAAATATTCAGCAACTAGCTTTTGATTTGGATTTTCTGAGGAGACATACCTTTGCTTACGGCTAGGAAATTAAATAAACTGCCATTCTTTATACTTCAGTCATATGTATATGGAGTACAAAGCTCAATTGTTGCATTGTATTTTGCCATAAATAAGGAAGGCAAATGAAAAGTTTAGTAGAATACTATTAACATCACACAACCTGGTAGCAGAACACAAATTTCATTAAAACCTAAAATCAGTCAGCTGAAACCCATGAACAGGCTAGATATGCAAACTGACTCCTCCTCTAACATTACCCACAAATAAGCCTGCATTTTCCTTTAAGAAAAGAACTGCGAACTGCAATTCAAATTATACAGAAGAGCTAGAAAGGGCTGAGAAAACACCCAAAATAAGCAATTTGGATAGGAATAACAGAAAATAAGGTTGGAAAATATTTGAAAACATTACTTCAAAACATCAACTTCACTCTCAGTGCTCCAAGTCTGTATCAGCTTTCCTTGTGCCACTCCTGACAGATGTTTATCTAACATGTTGGGTTTTTTTTAGCTAACCTCAAACAACACAGACTTCACAATATCCTCTGGCAGTCTACTGCAGTGACTGAACAATTTCCAAATCTACCCCTAACATTTAGCATATATCTCTCTTAATTTAAACCATTTGTTCATGCACCATAAAGCTGATTGCCTTCCTCTTTGCAGCATATTTGCCACACAGAAAGGAGGTTTCCTATTGCAACTGGACAGCTCTCCGCAGTGTTCTGCATTGGAAGGACAGAGCTCTTATATAAAAATAAAAGTCTGCCTGAACGGATGAGCTACAAAAACTCATCTCTGTGATGAGTCATCTGGGACAGCAGAAACGGACTTTCCCACATAAGCAATCTGCTGGAAGCTGGATTCAGCCACTGCAAGTGATACAGCCAAAGGAAACTAACATTTACAAGCGAGCAAAGCACAGCCAAGGCATCAGTCGTGATCGTTTGTACTACAGCCTTCAGAAAAGAGCCACGCAAAAAACCAGCATAGCTTTGGCTGTGTTGTTCAAAGGCAAAGTTAAAATGGGAAGCCGCAAACTGGAGCATTGGGTGGAGCTCCCGATTGTGCCTTGCCTGGCAGCACGACTCTGGGGGAAAAAAAGGAGTCAGTACGGGCAAAAGAGAGCGAAGGGGGAGGGGGAAGAAAGAAAAACCGACCTCGGAAACAAGAGACGTGCACGGGACCAATCACACACAGGGAAATGGATGTAGGGAGGCACCTGAACCCTTGGTCATAGAATGAGGAAGAAGGCTGGGATTAGGACTGTCTCCCTCTCCAGAGGCAGTGGACTTGAGGGATGCCCTGGGCCTTAAGACTTTTCTCCCACGAAATAGCTTCTCTCTGTCGGGTGGGGTAGTAGGGACCTCAAAGAACATGCTGCAGGGAAGGGCAGGGCATGCAGAGCTATCTAGGGAGATATACTGAGGTATGGCTGGGGGGAGGTGGGGTGGGGATCACAGGACAGTGTTGTAAGGCACTATGAGGATGGCAGGTGAGAACCGGGAGGTCTGCAGCTGCAGCCACGGCAGGGAAGTGGAGCAGGGTACGCCACAGATTGCAACGCCAAAGAAGGGCTGGGGAAGAAGAGGCAAGGTGAAAACGATCCACAGGAGAAGCAGCACATAGAAGAGTACACAGAGGGTGCAAGTGCATAGCATGGTAAGGAGCTATGGTAAAGCTGCGGTGGGGAGGTGAACGTGGGGGTGCACAGCCATGAGCGGGAAAAGCACAGCTACAGAGGGAGCAAAAAGGTGCACAGTTCATGTGCATGAAGGGCGAGTGGATGTAAGGGGGTGGTACCCAGCCACGAAACAGCAAGGCTACGGGAGGGGAAAGCAAGGTGGTCGCAGTCACTGGAGAGCTGTTGGTGGAATAGCGTGGGTTCCCAGCCATGACAGAGTGTGGTTACAGACTGGGACGCAGGAGAGTGCGCAGCCACGGGAGAACAGCGCTACAGGTGTAGCGAGGGGGCTGCACTGCCACAGGAAAGCGGGGCTCCGTGGTGGGAGGCAGGAAAGCGGTGCTTAGCATGAGGCAAGCTGTGCTGAGAGGGGCACAAGGGGATGCACGGCCTCCAGAGAGCGCGGCTGTGGAGGGGACAAGCGGCTGCGCAGCCACAGGCCAGCGACATGGGCAGACCTGGGGCCGGGGAGGCACAGCCGCGGGGCGAGGAGCGGGGCCGGGGCCAGGTGTGGCAGGGCCCTGCAGCGGCGGGCGGCGGGGTCGGAAAAGGGAGGGGGACACGAGCCACTCACCTGCGCGGCGGAGCTGCAGCAGCCCATGGCGTCCGCGGGTCTCTGCCCCGTGGGTGCCCGCTAGGCATCCACTCTCCGCGACTCTCCCGCCCCGAGCGGCGGCGCGGTGCGGGGCGTACGGACGGCGGCACGGAGGAAGCGGCGAGGACCGCGGGGCCCGGTCAGACGAGCGCGGCTGCAACACAAGCGCCGCCGCGACGCCCCCTCATCCTCCTCCTCCTCCTCCCACAGCAAACGCTCGGGGAGGGCGGGGCCTGAGGGGACTGAGGGGAGGGGCCTGGAGGGGGCGGGGCCGGGCACTGCGGCGCGGGGGGTACCTGCTCGGCCGGCGGCCCCGCCCCCGCCCCGCCCCTTCGCGCCGCGGCCTCTTCCGGTGTGGTAATGGCGGCGGGTGGCGCTCCGCGGGAGTTGGCCGAGATCGGAGCTCGTCTTTCCTCAGCGCTCGCTCCACGGCTAGGTGCGCGCCGCGGTGGGGGCAGCTGCCTGTGGAAACCAAGCTCGGATCAGCGGGACTTGCCGAGTCTCTGAGAGCCTGCCCACTGAGAGGAAGACCTGATCGTATGGCCTGGTAGTACATATGCATTTGCAGGCAAAATTTTGTGGCAGAATCAAGCACCATTTTTACACTTCTTTTTACGCTTCCAGGGATAGTGACTCAACCGCTTTCCTGGGCAGCCTGTTCTAATGCCTTACCAGTCTTATAGTGGAAGAATGTTTTGTAGTAGTATCTGATATAAACCTCCCTGGGCGCAGCCTGAGTCCGGCTCTTCCTACCTGGGAGAAGAGGCCGACCCCCACCGGGGTGCAGCCTCCTGTCAGGGAGTTGTAGAGAGTGATCAGGTCACCCCTGAGCCTCCTTTCCTCCAGGCTAAACAACCCCAGCTTCCTCAGCCACTCCTCATAGGACTCATGCTCCAGACCCTTCTCTGGACACACTCCAGCACCTCCGGATCCTTCTGCAGCGCCCGGAGCTGGACACGAAACTTGAGGTGTGGCCTCACCGGTGCCAAGTACAAGGATCCGTAGTCTGGCTGGCCACACTATTGCTGATACAGGCCAGGATCCCATTGGCCTTCATGTCCACCTGGGCATGCTGCTGTATCATGTTCAGGCTCTGTTCATATTCAGCATCCCTGGGCCCTCTTTCACCATGCAGCTTTCAGCCACTTTTATCCCAGTCTGTAGTGCTGCCTGGGATTATTGTGATCCAAGGGCAGGACTTGGCACCTTGTTGAACTTCTTACCACTGGCCTTGGCCCACCAATCCAGTATGTCCAGATCCTTTTGCAGAGCCAGCCTACCCTCAGTGTGTGAACATTCCCGTGCAAAGTGGTGTCATCTGCAGAGTGACTAAAGGCACACTCGATCCCCTTGTCCAGGTATATTGACAAATACATTACATAGGCCCCAATACTGACCCCAGGAGAGCCAGTGACCTGTTGCCAACTGAATGCGGTGCCATTTACCACCATTCTTTGGGCTCAGCCTTCCAGACAATTTTTTATCCAGCAAACAACATACACATTCAAGCCATGAGCAGCCAGGTTCCCTAGGAGAATACTATGGGAGACAGAGTCAAAGGCTTTGCTCTGGTCCACATAGACAACATCCACAAGCTTTTCCCTCGTGCACTAAGTGGGAGTGGACTGTCACTTTGTCATAGAAGATCACGTTGCTCAAAGAGGACCTGACTTTCCTAACCCCATCCTGACTGGGCCTGATCACCTGATTGTCCTGCACATTCTGTCTGATCAAGAATGTCCAGAACTCAAGATGATCTCCTCCACAATCTTTCTGGGCACTGAGGTTGTGCTGACATGACCTATAGTTTCCCAGATCCTCCATCTTGTCCTTCTTGTAGCTGAGTGTCACATTGGCTAATCTCAGTCCCTTTTAAGGTATGTTTACTGGTCCAGCAGTTGTGCTTGAACACAACCTAAACATAGGAAGCAATAGTCTTTATAAGTTTGGGGGGTTTTGCTGAATCTTAAACTCTCTCTACTCAGTAGCAGAGTTACCTACTATTTTATCAATATAGTAGAATACCCATGACTAGAAATAGTGTTGCAACGACTTAAATATAAAATGATCCTTTAACAGGCAGAATGAGGCAAAAGAGACCTTGTGACTAGAAAAGGAGTTTTGTTAGGCTTCCAAAAAAACTCAGAAACTGATATGTGGGTGAGTTGTGAATCACACTGGGGTTTTTTTAGCTCTTGTCAGTTTAATGGCAAGTAGAATAATGGAATCATTTCAGTTGGAAAAGACCTCTAAGATCATTGAGTCCAACCATAACCTGGCACTGCCAAGTCCACTGCTAAACCATGTCACTTAATGCCACAGCTTCATATCCTTTAAATACCTCCAAGGTTGTTGACCCATCAGTAAGATCACAATTTTCTGATTTTATAGTATCTGGTTAAAATAGTGTTTTACCTTTTGCACATTAATTGCTATTTTTTTCAGTATTCCACCTCATTCTATCCAGGTATTTTTCTGGTGTTCAAAAATGTGGCCATGAAAGAAATGTTTTGCAGGAGCACTCTCTAGTAGGAATGATTATTTTGTGACTGACACAGTAACTGATAACAAGAAATTTGTTTCCAATTCTTATGTAACTTTGGAGCCATCAGAATTTCTGTTCCTCCATTTTGCCATTTATAAAATTGACTTTTGTCCCAGTGTTTCTCTTTTCCGTTTGCTTGGGTATCAAAAGCATTAATTAGGTCTGTGCCATAGATGTTATTTAGTCATTCTCTTAAACAGACCAAATTAAATTTTTTTAAAATAGTCTACTCATTTAGTAGTAGTAGTTTATTGTGCTTCAATAGTTTCATTTAGGACCTCAAAATTTTGTCATGGAAATTAAATTCTGCCTCCTACTTTTTTGCATGTAGACTAAACATACTCAGCATGATTATCAGAAGAGAGTGGTGCATTAAAACACAGTGTCTGCCCCCCAAAATCATGGACTCTTAAAAAACCCCACATATTCTAGCCAATAATGAAAAGCTTTGTGCAGCTGCAGAGAGGCAATAGTAACTTTATAGTGATTAAAAAATGCCAGTCCTTCATTGGCTAGGGGAGCCTTTATGAAAAAGCTTGTAAAGACATATCATCTGTAGCATATGTAGCTGGGGTTTAGTGCACATATATGACAACTGTAGAAATTATTTGAACAAATACTAATGTTAGAAATAATCTCAGAATCTCTGCCTCTGGACTAAGGAGATTAGTTATGTTTTTGGTAGGGATGCAGTAATAGCAGCAGCAGTAGTTGCCTGGCTCTCGCTAGTTTTACTGTACTTTGTCTAGTCAGTCACACAAAGGAGAGGAAAAGTTTAAAATTTCTGGCTTATTCATAATTATATGAGCTTTTATATTTATTTAGATTAGCATTTCATTAAGGAACTGAACTGAGACTTGCTGAATCTTAGTTCAGTAATACAGAAGTTGAACTTTAAGCATATGTCTAAGTGCATTTCTTAAATTGTGCTTTTTGGATACCTTACTGAATCTGAATGTAATAGGCTCTAAGGCATGGTTACATCACAAGCTGCTAAAAAGCAAATCTGACTGCCCCAATTTACTGTTAATAAGAATCTACCCATTTTTCCATAACAGATTTGAGTCTGCCCTTCTGCTCTGGCCAAGAGCTTTACTTGTATTTTCATTTCATTGCTAGACTCAAAATGACAGGTAAGAGTTTTTTAAGTACCATCTAATACTGAGAGAGACAACAACAGAGAGAAGGCCCTAGAATGACAGAAATGCCATTAGTACTTGAGAAAATTGTAGGTTATGTCCAAACTGCTTTTATTCTGAGAAGAAAGCATTAATTATATGGTAATATTTACCTTTTCATTTCTCACCAGGTGCAGGATCTTGATCTTACTCAGCCGTATTTAAAAACCTACAGATTTTACAAAGTACAATATAATCTATATCTTTTGTTCCATATTAATGAGAGAAATACCTATAAAATAGTATTAGATAAAATTCTATCCTTTTTGATATGTTCTTCAGTGTGAATTTTGGAAGGAAATTTTTTAACAGGCTCAGTTTTGAAAGAAGTGCTCAGCCAAGAGGTAGGCAAAACTTGGCCTTGCCATGAATGAAATGGGAAGCAATGTATTGTGCAGACTAAAAACTGAATATTGCACCAGCAAGGTGTTGTTGCAGTCTGTGTGTTTGCATCCTTCTTCTAATTGACAAACTCTGCTTATTATCATTCTGCTGACTTCTTCCACCTGCCAATAAACCTGCATCTATATGTGCTTGGCAACCACTCTGAATTTTTAAAAATCCCATCCAATGTGCTTAACCTCCATATTCCTGAGGTTATTATTATCTAATTTTGGCCTTTTTGGTTGTTTTGGTTTTATGGTTTTTAAAATTTATTTAAATACAGAACCACACATATTCTCTCCATAATGTGTCCAGTGAATGGACTTAGTTCTCACACACATGTATCGATGCAAGATTAGGGGTGATTCTGCTGATTTCAGCAGAATACTAATGGAAGTGCATCATGAGAAGGAATTGCAGCAAACACATGGCAAATAGGCAGTCAGCCTGTCTCTATGGGCAGGGGATAAAGCCCACTGACTTATTCAGACCCCTGTGATCCTACATATCTCAGAACTCACGTGAAACTGATCATCTTTCTGAAAAGTTAAACCATGCCATTGCACTTTTTTAAGTGCTGTGGAACTACAGCATAGAGGCTTGTGTCAAATCACACAGGACACCAGTAACAAAACAGAAAACTGGAGCTGTATGTTATAAACTCCAGCTTCCACACGAAAAACCTGTCAGTTGCAAATTTTTGTCAGTCACAATAAAAACATTCAAGGCATCCTTCTTTGAATTAGAATAGTAGGATTCTTGCAGTCTTTTTGGTTGCTGACTAAGAAAAGATGAACAGTGCTCAGTAAATCTGAGCTCTCACCAGTTAAGGCTAGGATTTTCTTCTTGCTGCATGTCTGACCACAGAAGAAGAGATCAATTCAGTAAACGCTCTGAAAAAGTCAGAAAGCCTATTGTGATTCTACTTTTTACTGGAGCCCCATAAATAAGTCATATTTGGTCTGTTTCAGTTTAAAACTGGAGACTCCAAGGACAGAGAAAGATCTTAGGATTTTTTGAACTAATCAGGAAGGTGAAATTTTCTTTCTCCAGTCCTGAAACAAAATTTTGGTCCATTATACTCTT